GCAGGAAATCGCATGCATTATTACGTCATTTCCATTAAATCAGTGTCAAAAGGTCTTGAAACAATATTATCGTTTATCGCAATCATTTTTTAGACAATTAATCGCTCAGCAAAATTTGTTATTGTGACAGGCCTACCGGCTTCCTCCCCCACCACCGGAGCCAACTCACCACCAGGTAGTGGTCAGTGGACAGCTCCGCACCTCTCTTCACCCGAGTGTCCAAGACATATGGTCGCAGATCCGATGAAACAATGACAGGCCGCAGTTTGATGATTGATTTTGTCATTGTTTCATCGGATCTGTCCTAAAATGAGACAGATAATCTCTGAGAAAATAATCGATCTCCTCCCTGTTCTGCATAATCACTCCGCTCAGTCAGAAACAGCCACTCAGAACTAGCAATAACCAGCTAGCCGCCATGCTATCAGGAAGTTTTCATTTAGTAACTCAGGATTGTTTATTGTACCTGCATTTGCCTTTGAATGTTAAGTTTTATGCTTGAATTTTTTGGCAATGTTGAGAGGTTTTATTTTGACTCTTTACATTATTTAGCCTCTTCAGAGCCTTCATATGCTTTCAGTCTGTTAACCCTTCTACGCGGGAACGTGTCGCCAGCGACACATCCAAATTTGCAGTACCGTAATTCCGCCACACGTAGCGCTATCTGAAAAATTCCAACGGTTTCTGAAAGGGGAGACGTTGCACTTTCCAGCAAGTATCGGGTTAATATGATAACTTCACAGCTGCAGCTCCAGAGACTGTAATTAATCCGGGGGGCACTCTTTAATAGACGGCATATTGCGAAAATAACTTGCTGGATATTGAAAGTTCCAGTTGTTATCGATACATGGGTAAGTATATCATCTCACAGGACATTTAAAGAACTACTTACAATTAAAATAAGGAAGGTTTATTTAGGCAGACACTTGAAACTTCGGCATAAATTGGGTTAAAGACAGTATTACCGATAGCAGTACAATTTGCACAATGCCTGTTTTATTTTGTTTTTTTTTTTCTTGGAAAAAGTTTTTTGTCTAAATTAAGG